CACCAACAACAACAACAACCATCACCACCAACAACAACCACAACCAACAACAACAACAACAACACCACCAACAACAACAACAACCACCACCACCACCAACAACAACAACAACACCACCACCAACAACAACAACAACCACCACCACCAACACCAACAAGAACAACAACCACCACCACCACCACCACCAACAATATCACCAACAACAACAACCACCACCACCACCACCAACAACCACCACTAACCGCAGGTCCGGGTTGACCGCGCTGTCCTCTGTTTCCGGGGAATCCGCGGTCTCCCTTAGGTCCGGTCACACCGTCAGATCCTGGGAGTCCGGGAATACCCATCTCTCCCTGAGGTCACCAAAGGTCAAAGGTTAGAGCATGTCACAACTTCAAGCAAAGATTCCTCACTTCAAGGTAAAATTTTTCTCCAAGACGATAATAATGTTATAACAGGGTTGGGTTGTTTTACTAGTAAAAGTTTTACACCACTTGTAACAGAAAAAGGTGATATATATGTGTCAAAGATTACAGGTGGTACTGGACAGTACGAGCCATAGAAAAGAATGATGATATAATATGTTGGATAGGAAAAAAGGAGCAAGCTACATCAGAGCACCCGCCAACCACCCACCGGTCAAAGGTTAAGGGTTGTCACAACTTCAACAAAGGTTCCTCACTTTTAGATAAAATCAAGGGTTGTTGTTTTTTAGATGATAATACAACAGGGTCCGTTTTGTTTTAGTGGGACCATTCTTTATGGCACTTGCACCACAAATAGATTAGACAAGCTGGGCCCCCTGTCGATGAAAGGAATGATCCGTGCTTTAACATCAACTGAAAGTCATTGGCCTACTACCTTGACCTTTGCGAGCACGAGGGGCTCCAACTGCAGAACGTCGTTTTCTTTTCGGCATGGTCAGGCGCTATCTTGATCTAGATTCTTATCTAAGATCTATTGATGTTGTTCCCAGTAGTAAGAAAAGGAATTTGACAAAGGAGTCCAGAAAAAGCGATGATGGGCATCAAACGAAAGGATACAGTCGAATTTAGCACCCAGTAAAAAAAAAGAAAACATGAGGCTAGATCTATACGGGTCGCACACGTAAAAGAGTGCTCAGTATTGCGCGACAATGCGCGATAGTATTGAAGGGAAGTACGGCTTGAAGTAAACAAACCTGGCGGATTTTCTAAAATTAGAGACAGAAGAAGCGTCGGCCAACAAAAGCGATCGGCGAAATAAAGAAATTAAGCTTTTTGCGGTAAAACTGTCTCAAAACTGAAAAAAACGAAGGGCGTCATGATCTGGAGAATATTTTAAAGAATATTTGGGCGAAAACTGCATGTCGATCGATGCAGCCATTAAAAAGCTTTTTGAATAGCAAAATTCAGCCACCACAAATAGATAATAAATAAGTGGCCCAGATATTAGAGGTGTAAGTAAACTACTAGCCGTTCAAAAGAATGAGGACAGGTAAGGACGATAGATGTTTAATAGGAAAATTCGAGCCAACTGCATCACAGCACCCACCAACCACCCATGGTCAAACGTTAGAGCGGGCCACAAGTTCAACAAAGCTTCCTCACTTCGAGGTAAAAATCAATTTTTCTCCAAGAGGATAATTATATTATAACAAGGTCAGTTTTAGTTGGAAAAGTTGTACACCACTTGTAACAGAAAAAGATGATATATGTGCCGAAGATTACAGGTGGTACTAGACAACAATATCTATAGAAAAAAATGAGGAGAGCTGCATCAGAGCATCCGCCAACCACACGAAATCAAGGGTTAGAGGCTGCGGCAGAGCCTATGATCAGAAAAGTTCTACAAATGTTCTACACTTTGGAGGTCGGAGATCAAACCAATTTTTCTCAAAGAAGATATAACATGATCAAGAATAAAATGGATGTTATCTTAGAGAACAATTTAAAATCTCTACTTTTTGTGGGATCAAAGCCTGCACTTTCGGTATGCTCTGTATCAGCATTGCAGCAATACATTATTGAATTCACTGAGGGAGACAAAAAATGCTACATATTTTGAAATTGTAAAAAAAAAATTATCATCTGTTTATATAATTGGTCAAAGGTTAGAGGTCACTGGGTCACTGGGTCACTCACCTGCTTTCCTGGAATTCCTGGCAGACCTGCCTCTCCTGGAGGTCCAACAGGGCCCTGTGAGGGTGGGGCGGGCGAAGGGGGTGGGGAAGAATTAAAATACATTTCTTGAACACAGATTGTAACAGAAGCCAACAAAATGTAACAGCTGAAAATACAGTTTAACCTTTTGAGCCAAGGCCTTCTGAAGCTTCCTTGCCCCACTGCCTGAACTCCAGAGTGCTATAATTTCTTGAAAACAGTTTGTGACAGAAGCCAATAAAATGTAACAGGTGAAAATACAGTTTAACCTTTTGAGCCATGCATGACTTCCTGAGGCTACCATGCTGTGCCCCTTTGCCAGAGCTCCTGAGTGATATATTCCTAACATTCATAATAACATGGTCATCAAAATCACATTCTACATCCCAATCAGCGTAGGCCTAGTCACTACCAGCATCTAATTCAGAAAGATCTTAAAAATAACCAGTAACATCCTGTGCTGTAAACACGATTTTCTATGCCGGGTTGAAGATAGGGTCTCGCTCACCGCTGTACCGGGGGCTGGGTATACAGGCAATTTTAAGAGCCACTTGTGTGCTTGTGGCGAGGCATATAGGCAGTTTTAATAGTAAATAAATTATTATAAATTTATACAGCACTCAACCCCGATTAAGGTACACAGGCTCTGAGTGCTTTACAATACAGCACAACAATAACATAAAACGTTATGTTCTGACCAAAAAAAAATCTCTCCAAATATTCATCTTATTAATTTAAAAACAGATATGACTTCAGCTGACATAATTTTAATGAATCAAAGGATTTGATCTCTCTTAAACTACTTGGCAAAGTTTTACGCGCCAGTGGTGTACCGGTGGCTAGGCATACGGGTAGTTTTGCACGCTACCAGTGTTCCAGAGGCTAGGGCTCAAAGGGTTAAGAAATAGACTTACATGTATTTATCTTAGAGTAAAAGGTTACTGAAGTAGAGAAATTTTCAAAAATCAGATTCATTCTACTGCTTTACTGTGAACATCAGCATTCAGTTACCTGTGCAATGATATAACATTGGCACTACAAAATTTACTACACATGGTAAGTTTTTTTCGATTGCAATTCTTTGAAAATCTTGATAACAACTCCAAATATAAACATATGATTTTGATACAGCAGATAGAACATTTGGTTTCTGACCTCATGGTCTTATAGTTATTCAAAATGGCCCAAAATGTCAGATCTTTGTAATTCTATGGTAACGAACTGCTCTCTCTCTCTATTAGACATGGCGTCAACTTCCCTCTCTATTAGGCATTCGTTTCCACGTAAATATTTTGTTTAAAGTGTACTTGAGTAAAGATTGCACTTTGGAAAAAATAGTTCTGTGGCGACAATAAATGTCGTTAACCGTTCCCTCCCGTATGAATGTCCCTGATAGTACGAGGAGTCAGTAAGCTAGCATGAGTCTCACCTCAGGTCCCATGATTCCAGTGTCTCCGTCCTTGCCTGGGGGTCCAGACTCTCCCTTAGATCCGACCTCACCAGCCTCGCCAGCGGGTCCGGGGGGTCCCATCATGCCCTGGGGGTGGACGGGACGAGGAGGAGGAGGAGGAGGGGGGGGGGAAGGGGAGGAGGGGGGGAAGTGTCATGTGATTATTTCTTTAAAATATTTTTGTAATGTCCCATCTTTAGGTACCAAGTGTCATCATTTTAAAATAAAAATGTTCACAGAATGTTAGTTACACCAAACATAACTTAAGAGGGTTTTTTTTTCTCTTATATATGAGTCAAAACGAAAGACAGAGCAAGATAGTGATTTGGATAAGAGTGATAGAAAGAGAGAATGAGGGAGAAGGAGGAAGAGAGACTGATAAAAGGAGAGAGACAAAGAGAGATTCAAGATTCAAAATGATTTATTGATTTGAAAGGCCTTTGGCCCATACATCCACATATTTTAACATA